CATAGTTGAGGTCTACCTATGATGTCAATTTCAGGCCTCTCTCATCTTTTTAAGTGGGAGAACTTGCACAATTGGTGACTGACTAAATACGTATTTTCCCCACTGTAAATACACAAGCATTTTTGTCACTTACCCTATCACATTGCTGCTGGTCAATCCCGTTGTTGCAAAGACAAACAACAGAGACAGGAGACATTTATTTCTGCTATTGTAAAGTACCAAATAAACGCATTAAAAATGCTTTTTGTCTAAAATAACTTGTACAGGTACTTTAAACAATGTACATTGTGCTAATTTACAGCTTGGTGCAATCTACATGCTGTGAAGTTGAATAAAATCCACTAAATTTTTCCTCAACTTATATTTTGTCAGCTTTTTGTCTTCAGTTTAAATATCTAATTTTAGCTCATTCTTTAATTAAGGTATAGAAAAACAACCATTTTTGCAAATAGTAATGTTTTTCAATTAGGCAGGAAAAATTCTAACTGAAAACTAGATACTGCATAGCAGTAGCATATATGACCTCTGCATGTACTCAAAGTACCAATGCACCAGAACTCACCAGAACAGATTTATTATTTTGGGTGGGGGTCTTTTGGGTGGTCCATTGGTGGGCCTAATGGATAGCCCTTCATCAGAGCTAAACAGCCAAAACAAATCTGAAGGTCCTTTGTTGAATAGTTTTTGAGTAAAAGCAGTTTTGTATGTCCAGACACCCCCTTTTTAGATGGACCCCCCTGCTCAAACATAGGGTCTATCATAAAACTGTTGGCCGGCACAGTGTAGGTCAGACACATCTATATTCCTATCAAATTTCATGTTGGTCATTGCAGTTATTTCCATGATATGTTTGACCAAATATCACTTTAAAAAACACTACGAAAGCAATATGACCCCCGCTTCTCATGCAGGGTGTGTGTGATTTTTTTTATTTTTATTAGTTTTTTTTTAGGGGGTGGGGTGTCTGAGAAAAAAAACTCCTGAATTAAGTAAGTTAGTAAGTTACAGGAATAAATCACGTGACTAACGTGAGGGCGAAGGCCACCAGAGCTCCCACCACAACGATGAAGTCCAGGATGTTCCACAGGTCTCTGAAGTAGGAGCCGTCATGAAGAATCAAGCCTTGGTCAATCATCTGAGGACAAGAGCCACAAAGTAAACCAATGTACTTTGTAAAATGTTTTGAGAATGTCTATGTTTACAAAGACCCAGAGATCATGGGCATTTAGACATTGTTCCCTGTGTGTTGAAATATTTGTATTGATGAATGTGTTGCCATTTCCCTAATGTTGATAGCGTCATATAAACGTATGGGCTGGGCATGAATGTGCACGACACTTTAATAAAAAATTATTCATTAATTTCTAAGAATGGAAACAAATAAACAAATAACAAAAGGGATGCAACAACCTATTCAGTTTGCTGGAAGCAGTGATGGTTAAAGTCTAGCAGATGCTGGGAGGAAAACTTTATCCACTTTGTACTTTTTACACAACAACTCACCTTTATGATCATTTCAAATGTGAAAACTCCAGTGAACACATAATCAAAGTAACGTAGAACCTGTCAAATAAGTGCAAAAAAGAAACATCTCAGAAACTGATTTAATATAAATCTAAAAACAAAGAAGGACTCAGGAATTAATAGCTGTTTGCATCAAAGTTTTTTATGCACACCTTGAAGTATTGCATCAGAAAAGGTTGATGGAAACGGCAAGATTCAAAAAAACGTCCCGAAAATTTGCAAAACGTTTCTTACACTCGCTTGAGATGGTTTTGGGATTTTCCAAAAAAGAGGGGCGATGGAAACACATTTGCCGAATAATTTCTGACGTAGCGACATTTACCTCACGATTGTTCAGCCATTCCCGCTGTTGGCGCCTTCCCAGATATTTTTATAACGTGAAGAGAATTACATTTCTTTCTTTACGCCTCTGGACAACATGTAACATTGTGATTACTAGCTGATATGACAGAATCATTACAACTTTCCCAACAGCAACACATTCCTGATAACTTCTCTCCATTGACCCGAGATGTGTGGTCCCTGCTAGATTGCAACCTCTACTTCCTGTTTATTACAGCCATGCATAATGTCAACATCTAACGTAATTACACTTTGTGTAGCCTGGTCGATTCACATCAAGCCAGTAGATGGAAACACGTCTGACACCCACCCCTCTTCAACGTTTAAAAAATTTGCTCAAAACTTGCATTCAGTTTGGATGGAAACATGGCTAGTGTTTCAAAACCCATGAAACGAGCTGAAAGTTATTCTGACCAAAATGTTTTAGTGCTGTTCATTTTAAGAGCTGCACTTTTAAATAGTACCACTGTTAGAAACTAAAGTAAAATTTGAGTTTCTGCTCACCATTTAGCCTTTTACTGAGGTCACCCCGGTGAAAACACAAACCTTGTTCCAGTCAGAAGATGCGGCCACAGGGTCCTCTGCAGCCAGAGCGATGCTGCTGGCAGCTATGACCAACAGGATGGACATTTCAAAGTACCTGAGGTTGACCACGTAATGACACGCTCGACGCACCCTGAGAGATGACAACCAAGAATTTAGTGTAAAAAAGGGAATGTAGTAAATTAAGACAAAGAAATAATGCTTACATATGAGACACATAAAAAATTATTTAGCTTTAAAAATGTCCTATTGTTTATGCTGACAATTAGAAGTACAATAGATGCTCTTTGGTTCATCCATTCATTAATTAAATCTGAGTTTTTTTAAATGCTCTGGCTTGAAATTATTTTGAGCATATCTCCTGCAAAGGGCTCCATCACACTTAGAATTGATAAAACGACACACTTCTTAAACGTGCACAGTCCTTCAGGGTCAGAAAGTTTGGTCAACAGGACCAGATGGACTCTGTGAGAGGTGCAGTGATAGCAATAACTTACGGGTTATCAGGTTTGAAGATGAACATGCTGTCAGGGGTGACAGTGACGACAGGCTTCGTTTCTTCAGACTCCTCCTTCTCTGACTTACAGGTTTCGGGATCCTTGCTGTTGACTGAAGACAATCAGGTGGTAAAGTTTTAACCTTTTCCTGCTCGGTTCTCATAAAACCAAAAAAGAGGTCACCGTACTACAATCTGCAAATCCCACACGTGCGGCGTCACCTGTGATGGTGGAGAGCTCGAGAGACGGCTGCGAGCCGGGCACCTCGATGACCGCGCTGGAGCTCAGCTGCGGCTTTTCCTGGTTCTGCTCCAAATTCATTTCTTCTTTGTTCCTCTCAGGTTTCGCAGGTGCAGATGATTCAGACAGTTGTGAAAGCTCCTCCTGTTTCTGAAGACATGTTTCACCTGAGGGGATGTCTTTTAGGTTACCCTCACCTTGCCTGTAACAGAGAGATATACAGGATAGATGAGGAATAATAATAAAAAAAAAAGGATTTGTGGAAACGAAGTAACAATCCTGCAATAACATTGATGGATTGGCATACAAAATAAGGTTTTGAGGAAAACCATTAAGGCTCAAAAGCAGTAAAAACATAAAATTGGGTTGGAAAAGTTTTATATAGCACACGTGTCAAACTTAAAGTCCGTGGGTGTGGCACGCCCCTGCATTTTATGTGGCCTGCGAGAGCTTCAAAGATGTATTAATGTCTTAAAATACTGGTAAGCTGCTTTAAAGCCAGCCCTGACCATAAACTACATCTCCCATAATGAATGTTGATTATATTATCTGTAAAATGATGGCGTCCCATCATGAGGTGGAGGTGCACAGGGTTATAAAGTAGCCGGTGAAAATGAACTGAAATGGAGATTTTATGGCAAATTTCACCTGCTGCCTGTTACATTCACTGCAGCCTATTTGTATTGGAAAATGGGAATTTCCCACTTACAAGTCCTGAATTTAATCTGGAACGCCCCTCCAGAAAGTGAGAGAGTTCAAAATTCTAGATGTATTTTTACTTATATAGTATATCTGTATTTGCTTCATAAGTCAGCCGTACACATTGTACTTTTCAGTGTTTACAGGATTAGAGTGTTAAAACGTTTTTTTTTTACAGGAAATAGTGATGTATCAAGTGAGAGCCAGCTCTCCAATTTTCTTTCTTTGCAATGGCCTTGTGACATGCAAGGATATAGGACATGGGTGGGCAAACTTAGTCCTGGAGGTCTGCTATCCTGCATGTTTTAGAGGTTCCTCTGCTCCAACACACCTGATTTGAACAAATGGTTGATTATTCGGCATCTGCAGAACTTGAAATGCTAATTCAATCACTGAATCAGGTGTTTTGGAGCAGAGAAACAAGTAAAACATGCAAGATATCAGCCCTAGAGAACCTGGATTGCTCACCACTGATATGATCATACTATCATGAGTAGAGAGGGAGACAGACGTGACAACTAGCTGCAGCATCTGTCCATCCCCTCAAGGACCAAAAAAATGTAAACGTTTACTAAAAATCTTAAATAAATGTAAGAACACCTGCTTTGTAACAGGACAAATACATAAAATTGGGCAATTGTAAAGCCTGGGAGCCAAATCAGCTCTAAATTGGGAGCCATTTTACAAGAACCGGCTCTCTGAAAAGAGCTGAACTTCCCATCACTAGAAGGAAATACCACGTAGAGCACAGCTATTGTTTGTTAGAGGTGCTCAGCCATATGAAACGAGGAACATGACGTTCCATGTTTGGTCAAAGTTAAACATGAAATGTTGAAGTTAATTGCAATCGGCCCTTTGAGGGCCACCTTAATGCTCATGTGGTCCTCAGTGAAAATGAGTTTGACCCCCCTGCTCTAGCAGCACCTGAAGATATTAGTAATGTGGTAATCTCACCTGCTCTCCTGATGTTTGGCCACCTCTCCGTTGTTGTTCTTGGGCTCTGCTACCTTCTCCTCCTCTTTGCCAAGGTTTTTTCTCTCCTCCTCTACAGCCAAGCAGCTCGCTAAAGTTCCCTCACTTCCAGGAGAAGATCCCTGATTTCTGACCCTGGTCTGATGGTCGCAGTTATGCAGCAGCCTCCGGCCCCTGATCCCGGCATAGCCTTCTCTCTCGGGATTTCTCAAGTCAGTGTTGTCTGGAGGTCGGAACTTCTTGACGTGCCTGTGCTGACGTTCACCGTTCAGTCTGGGGCTCCGACTCTCGTATTTGTGGTTGACCCCCAGTTTTCTGTTCTCCACGACAGGATCGGATGCAGGAGGTTCTGGTATGTTCACAGATACAGCATCAGTGAGGGCTACATTTGTAGGATCCAGTGACTCTGGTACGAGCACAGACACTGGTGGTTCAGTAATACCGGCGGGGAGGGTTGCATCCAGAGGAATGTCTGCAGAGGAGCCAACAGCCTGGTTGGTGTCTGCAGGGGCCGGAGGGTCAGTCAGGAGCTTCACGCTCCCTGATGGTGTGTGCTGCATGGCCTTACGGTGCAGCGACACGGAGCGCCCATGAGCTTCTTTCTCCTCGCTCGGGTTGCTGAACAGGATCTCTCTGCTGGACATCTGGCGGTGTCGCCGCAGCTGGCTAGTCCTCTGCTCCCACACGGACATGGTCATCCTCTTCCTCCTTTCTCTCCTGGACATGAAAGAGTTAGAAGGTTTGAGTGGCGGGGGTGGGCGGCCCTCCCTGACACTGCCCTGGGCCTCCTCCAGGGAGTAGGAGTAGGTAGGCCGGCTGCGGTGAATGGCTCGTTTCCTGTACAGATAGGGCCGCCTTCTTCGGCTTCCCCTGGGGAGAACAAAAAATACATACTGTCATCAGACAGCAACATAAAACTCTGTGTTCATAGAAACATAGTGCGTTCATTGCAAAGTTAATGTTAGCATTTGTTAGCTTAATTTGTTTTATTTTGATTCCTGTTTGCTATATTTTTGCTTCTCATATTTTACATTCAAGCTAGATTCTTTAACTGTTCTTTGACAGACTTAAGGGGATAATGTTGAGCGTCTGAAGTAGGGTTCTGTGGTGAAGTTATAAACAATAACATCTGACTTATTGTAGACTCTTTGAAGAACCTCTGATTGGAGAAACAGAGTTTAATTCTGACTAGATGGACGAGCTAACAGCTAATCTTAGAGGGGCCAAGAACAAAGTGATTTGTTGTTGTCCTAAAACATTATTTTATAAACCTTTACACTGCTGTCGTTTTTGCTTTTGATGATAAATTCAATATACGTTTTATATTTTTGCAAGAGAAGTGCTGCAACTGGCTGCTGCAGCCAGGTTAATAACACGTAAAGCAAAACTGACAATATTAAGGTTTATGAAAGAGGATTGACATGAAACGCCATGATGATTTTTTTAAGACTGGAGATGTTTCATGAAGCCAGTAATCCATTTTAGTCTTGGCCCTGCTAAAGCCATCTGTTAGCTCATCAGTCCAACTATTCAGAGTCATCTACAGCAGGTAAGATATTGATTATTTCTAGAATTGCCACATACCCCACTTCAACATATCTGGGGCCTTATGTATGAAAGAGTGCTCATTGGCATTCAGAAAAAAATGAAGATGTGCATATGCACAAAAATATTCAGATTTATTGAAACTGTGTGCTTACGTTTCTGCGTACTTTTCCTTCATACAGTAGATCCCAGTTTACGTGGAACTGAGTGCACTTACAAACATACAAGATGTACGTAAATATGCAGATAGATGCAAATGTGTCCTACATGTGCCTTTCTTCACTCTGCATGATCGTAAATGATATTTAGATGCAGGAAAATGAAGAATTTCATGGAATGTTGGTCAGGGATGCTTCAAAATTAGGCAGTGGGGCAGAAAAATGTATTTACCCCACTGCCAGCGTTTACACAATGCACAAAGAGGAGTGACAGCGTGTGTGTGAAGTTGTGATTGTCAAAGCAGAGCATACTTACAGAATTAGCAAGAAGGTTAAATGGTCAAACATAAAGGCGAGAGTAAAGTGGAAGACAGCTGCACATCGCCTCTCATTCAATAATGTTAAAATCCTTTTTAAATGTGCCAAAAAATGTAGAAATTAAACACTTTTATTGTAAACGAACGAAGTGAACCAGGGGTGCAGATCTGCTGGTGGTGCATTTCTGAGTCATTTTTAACTTTACGCATGTGTTTATTAAAATAATTACTGTAAACATGGAGGGACTCAGGAACCAGGTGGAACTTCGGGGTCTGGCCCCGGAAATCCAGATCAGATAATAAGCAAGGCATCGTATGCCAGCAGGTTGGTGTGGATCCTGAAAATACGCTCACTGCAAATTATTTCATTGGTGGTGTCCTCCAGCAGCACAACTGCTGTCATTGTCCTGCAATTACACACAACGTCACTCAGCTATTTATGAGCAGGTGTCATTGTCTACGAATTTTGTACTAAATTAATCTGCTAATACAACTTTTCTTTTCTCATTAGGAATGGGAGAGTTATTGTTGTAGTCAAGACCACCTAACCCGAGACCAAGTCAAGACCAAGACCACAGTGTATTGAGACTGAGACAAGACCAAGACCAGAAAAAATAATAATAAAAAAAAATGAAAACTAGTTCCCTGAGATAGAGTTTTCTGTAAAAACGTAGCTGACTTAATATGTAGAGCTAATATTGACAATTGGGCTGAGGGCTGAGTAAAGACTTTTGCTAGAGGTAGATTGCTAACGTTAGTGATGATAAAATTTGATGTAGTCCCTACTGTCTCTGAAATTGAGTCGCTGTATGTGTTCTCCTGGATGTTGTTTTACAAATATATTCTTTCTGATTTATAGCTGAGAAACAACTGATTCTCAGCTGGCCTGGGAACGCCTTGGGATTCCCCGGAGGAGCTGGCCCAAGTGGCTGGGGAGAGGGAAGTCTGGGTCTCTCTGCTTAGGCTGCTGCCCCCGCGACCCGATCTCGGATAAACAGCAGAAAATGGACGGACAGACGGGTGATTTATAGCCAAACTGCATTACCGAAAATTTTGCAGACATCTTCTTCCGCTCCTAGAGATCCACTGCTCATTTTCTTGGAGTGCTGCTTGCGAGTGAAGGGGGATGGGGATGGTTGACAGCCGTAACAAAACTACATAATTAGCAATGAGTCAGGATTGGATTTGAATCAGTATGTTTTAAATTCAATTCAGTTCAATTCAATTCAAAAATACTTTATTGATCCCAGAGGGAAATTAGGTGTTGTTGTAACTCATTTAACTAAAAACTTATTGTAGATGCTGAAATCCAATGAAAGCAAATATGTTAACAAATAAAGTGGACCATACGCTGCCCATTTAGTGATATTTCCACAGTTGTGGTCTTGACTAGTCGTGAAATAAATCCCAAGTCCTCAATGTCTGAGACCAAGTATAAATGTGGTTCAGTCCGAGACAAGACCAAGACCATCAAAAAGTGGTCTTAAGACCAGGACCAGTCTCAAGCACTACAACACTAGGAAGAGCCACTTGATAATTCACATGCATTTTATGTGCCTCGCAAACATGCAGCCACTAATCTTCATGTGACAAAAATAAATGTTTTAGTTTTAATTAGATTGAGGTTACTTAAGTCATTTTTTCAGGTCCATTGTACGTTACGTTGTTTGAGGTTAAATGTAGTTTAGTGTCATCTGGCTTTAAACCATAAATGCTCAAACTCGCGAGAACGCGTGTTAAATCATAAGTCTTAATCAGTGAATGTAGGTGAATTTTCGATGCGTCAGTACTTTCAGTACTTTCAGTACTTTAGTTTGATTTAGTCAACTGAAAAAATAAAATAGCGAGACAATATGCATATTCTCATGGCTGGTGAAAGATTTAGGTATACATACACACACAGTTCGTGGAACCTGGCACGTACAACCTTTGATACATGAGGCCCCTGAACTATTACTTTAAACTATTTTGTTTTTTTTTAGAATCAATATTAACAAGCAAAACATGTACAGCAAAATAAATAAATAAATTAATAAATAAATACAAAAATGAATTGGATGTGACAGCAGTTTGTAGGCACCAAAGAGCAATTTAATGATAATGTTCAGTGAAACATTAGCAAAAGCCTGGAGTTGTTTTGTGACTTCACTAACAGAAAGAGCAAAGTACGCCATATGAAATCAGCCGAATACGTTTTCAAAGACTATGAACTGAAATAAGGTTGGACAGCTGGAAGGGACGGTACAGAACAGATGATGAATGAATGACTGGGAGACATTGATTCAGTTTAGAAAAGCAAGGATGAGAGAGGGATTCAGAGAGCTGAACAGACATTGTTACTTACTGGAGCGTGGACTCTTGTTGGGTCCGTGTTATCAATGAGCGATTGGTTGAAAACAAGACATTAGTGCTTTTGTGAGCAGAGACAAAACAACGCAGGAGACACACAGCAAAACATCTCCAACAAAGAACACAGCTCTGACTGTGACTCTCGTTTACCAGCTGCTCTTAATCGGATTTTTATTTCTAGAGGGAAATCAGAGAAAAAAATAATCAGAAACTATTTTTGCATCCATCACGTAGTTCACTTTTTTTCTCTTTCAGCTGGTCTCTTCTGCAGGGGGTTACCACAGCGTGTGAAATGCAGCAATTGTTTTACACAAGACGGCATTTTCTTATGCAACCTTGGCTAAAAACCTGCAGCCTCGGGATTACAACACCGAGCTGCCGCTGCCCCCTCTTATTTTAGCACGTGTAATGTTAAACTTAGAGCTAGATTTGAGTCTTTGGTGTGTGTCTCCTTTGGAGCCAAGCGGCACATTGACCAACAAGATGGTTGCAGCATCGGAAACATTTACAAAACATTCATAAAACATTAACAGTAGGTGCAACATTGATAGAAAGACAGTCGGAGCTACAATTTGATCACAAGTGAAAGAACAGAAATGGGCTCCATCAGCAAACACAGAAAAGAGGATACAAGTTTAAAGCCCTTTGAGAAAACGAATCACGCAGCTCTGAACAGCACCGCCACCTCAGAGCACTCACATGATAGCATTCTTTTTCAGGACATGCTAATAAGATGAAACATTCAAGTGTTGAGCATTTTTTTGTATTAGCTTAAATTTATAAACGTTCGTCAGAGGATTTAAAGCCCTAATATTGAAAGAAAAACCACTCATACACTGAAAACACTCATATCACTCGCATTTTCAGTTAGCGTATGTGCATGATTTGTGTTTTTCTTTCTTTGATCATGCTGATCATATGCATGCTGTCCCAAAGCAAGCACATTAACTGTCCCCTTCCTCCATGCAGCACTTTTTTTCTATTCAGAAAATGTGGCCGTGCAGTTTTGCAAGGTTGTTAATGAAAGGTAGAGACAGGCTTTTGTAGCTGACATACGAAATCAGGCAGGGAACCCTCAAAGCTCAAAAAAGTCCTCTCTAGATTCAGATACAAGCACTGATGACCTTGTGGTGACCCTGTCTAGTTTTTAGTAGACAAGTCTACTAAAAACATTTAGTTATTCTAAAACATTTAGTTTTTTTGTTTTCAATTCACTGTGGAGGTTAAGCTAAAAAACTAGATAAACTACATGGTCTGCAAAAACGTTGTGTGGATGCTAACTGCTGAAACACTGCTGAAGTTAATAAAAAACTGATAATTATGGCTAAACTAACTAAAACAAGTTAGTTAAACTATCAAAACATTAGCTAGATGCTAAAAATAGCAACAGGTTATCCAAAAACAGCAGAAACTTTGCTGCAAGCTAATGTAGCAAAAGGCTATCTAAAAGATAAATGTACCAGAACTTTAGATAAAAGCCAAAAGTAACAAAACCTTTGCTGAAAAGTAATGTAGTAAAAGGCTAGCTAAAAGTTAAATTTACCAGAATTTTAGATAAAAAACAAAAATAAGAAAAACCTTGCTGAAAAAGCTAATGTAGCAAAAGCTTAGCTAAACATTAAATGTAACAGACTTTGATTGAAAGCTAAACGTAACAAACATCGATAAAAGTAACAGAACTGTAGCTAAAATTCACAAAACCTAAAAGTCACAGCACCCAGCACTCTCCTGAGCGTTTTAATTAACAAACAATTCAAAAACGTATAAAAATAAAAACAGGAAAGTAATGTGAACGCAACCAGCATTCACAAAATATGGAAAAAAGAAACTAAAACAAAAAAGCACATTAGCTGATTAAACCTTCTGCAAGCCCATGCATAAAACCCTTCTTTGATACACAGCGTGCATACAGAGCACAGGGTTTGCACTCTTGGTCATGCACATGCACTTCCACAATGTGTAACGAGGCAAAGTGCAGTTAGTTGCTGAGAAAAAAAAAAATTCTGTAAGCAGAAAAAAGGTTAATTTGTCAGTCAAACCTAAACAATAGAAGTATTACTTCCTGCGACTGTCTGAGCAGAACCAGTACCATATTCTCTTGTAACGCTGCCACACTGACAACAATATAAGCTCCTCCCACTCCCAAGTCAAATCAAATAACCAAGAATTTAATGTGGAGAACCTAAAGCTGGATGTTTTTTTATGAGTCAGCACTTACTTTGCAACACACTTCAAAGTGTTATTGATTCTTAAGCCTCTTTTTTAAAGTTTTGATAAAAAAGCTGAATTCGAAAGACTACAGCAACTTACATGAAGACCTTCAACTAGTGTAAAAAAGTTAGAGAGGAAGAGAAAGATTGAGGAGGTGGTCAGGCAGGAGGAGGCTGCATACATGACTTACTCTGAAGACATGAAGGAAGACAGCGGTCCAACCTCCTTGGCTTTCTGAAGAGCGTGCTTCTGATTGAACGCTGCCTCTGCTTCTTCTTCATCCTGATCAAAAGGGGAAAGAGCAAATGGCACACGAATAACTCAAACAAGCTTAAATAATCAAAATAGATGAAAGGAAGGAAATAATGAAAGGGTAAAGAGATTATTAGACTGACCCTGATCTAATGCAGAAAGCTCATCTGACAAAAAGCTGCTCTTTTAGCTGTTTGCTTTTATTACCTTGGTAAGTTCTTGTGCGTTGGCGAGGTTATCCACAGCAATGGCCAAGAAGACGTTCAGCAGAGTATCTGGTCACAGTTCTGTCAAAGAGTCCAGTCAAAAACTTATGGCGAAAGATTATTAATTAAATATACAGAAACACAGTAGGTGAAAAAAAAACAAAAAACAAAACAACAACACAAAACAAAACAATGCTGTTGCAAATAATTTAGAGGATACAGTTTCCAAAAAGAGTGAGAACTATGAAGTAGATCGAGGACCACATGCCAGACTTCACTCCTCCTTGTGAGCGAATCCCATTATACATGACCTCATTCCAGTCCTCTCCAGTCAGGATCTGTAAAAAACAAACAAACAAACAAACAAACAATTACACAAAACACTCTGCAAAAGAAAAACTGTGCGGCATATCTGCGATGAACTTGTGAGATGAAACGGTGCATCGTCAGCTGTAAATTCTCAGGTTTATTTCCAGACCTGAAATACTGTCATGATAGCTGCAGGAAAGGTGTCAAAGTTTGTCGGCGTGTAGTCTTCAAAGATGAACCTGGAACAAAAAGATAAAACGCATATAGTGGCTAAACTAGTATTTATCTAATCAAAGCATTTCCTTTTTATTTTGTCTGCTCTGTACTCTGAAAGGCCTGAAGGCCATCTTTGATAATCCCGGACTTTTTATTTTTATCAAAGTGACATCTTGAGGGAAACAAATGTTACTGGATCATAGAAGCACCTGTTATCTTTAAGTGGTTCACTTTAACCTTGCTTTTGTTTGTGTGGAAAAAAAGTCCACTACAAAATGAAAACTGCCCATCACATCTTACTTTATTGGTTTTTATATTTGCTAATCTTTGTTGATTCACTTACTGTATATATATAGGGGATGTTTTGGAGAAAAATAAGCATGATTATTTTAATGTTACCTGCCACCAAAAAGCTGCATCCCAAGGAGTGCAAAAACAACAATGAAGAGAAAGAGAAGGAAAATCAGGGAGATGATGGACTTCATGGAGTTCATCAGAGAGACAACCAGGTTCCTCAGAGATGCCCAGTACCTTGGCAGAAACCAAACATTACATTTAGGAGGAGGGAGGACGCTTCTGGTTTAACAGCACAAACAATGACATGACATTTTCACTAGTGTTACATTCTACACTTATTCTCCACTTCTACAGTATTGTCAGTGAAATATTCATAAACTATGTTCGTGGCAATGAATGAAGATGGCCGCAGCACTAACTTGGTGATTTTGAAGATCCTCAGCAGACGGAGAGCACGCAGGACACTGATGCCAAATGAAGTTCCAGGCCTGAAGAAACCCCACAGCACTTCAAAGATGCTGCCAACAATTACCTGGGATATGCAGGAGAAATTGACAGCTTATTTAAATAACAGCACTTTTCAAAAAATTATAAAATATTGAGAAAAATAGATGCAAGTTATAATTCAAAGAAGTATTTTATATTTAGTAAATAAACAGTGGTGGGCTCAGCTAAGCAGAAAGTTGGCTTCACTAATCCACTAAACAAGACTCTTCGCTCTGCTAACACTAATCTACTAAACAGACCAAATTTGTGGAAGCTAATGCTAACCGCTAAGAAACTGTCACTCAGCATGTGTCGTGACTTCCTCTCCGTCCAGTAGAAGACTGGTGGAACTTGTCACTGCCCGATCTGACCAGGAAGCACGATCTGGACCATCAGCTCATTTGTGCATGTGCTAAAAGAAATACTCCTAGTTCGCAGATTATTGAGCATGATTTAGGATAAAGTACTGGAAACAATTATTCCATCTTTAATAATCAAGGTTTGTTAATTTATAAATAAATAAATTTATAAATTATGTATGCTAAAAACATACAAAGCCCTTCCGGCAGCATTTCTTTCAGCGCATGCACAAATGAGCTGACGGTACAAATCATGCTTCCGGAACAGATCAGGTGGTGACATCATTATATGAGAAGCTAGTTCTGCTGTTAGCTGATTATTGGAACTGTACCCACAACTGTAAATAACTATATACTGTACACATGACAAGGAATATAAAGTACTAACACTGCAGTCAAAGCAGTTGAAGGAGGAATGAAAGTAGAGGCGCGGCCCCAAACTGTACATCTTTAGAAACATCTCGGTCAGGAACAGAGCGAGGAACAGAAACTCTGCATAGTCTAGAATAAAGGACAGTAAGCAAATATACAACGTCACTTTCAATGAAGTTGAGACACAGTGTAAAACATAAATTCAAAACAGAATACAATGATTTGCAAATCCTTTTCAACCTTCATTCAATTGAATACACTACAAAGACAAGACATTTAATGTTCAAATTGATTAACTTTATTGTTTCTTTTTTTACAAATATTAACTCATTTTGAATTTCATGCCTGCATAATGCTCCAAAAAAGCTGTGACAGGAATAACAAGACTGGCAAAGTTGAGGAATGCTCAAAAAACACCTGAGCATTCCACAGGTTAACAGCATAACTGGAAACAAGTGAAAGTCATGATTGGGTATAAAGGGAGCATCTCCGAAAGGCTCAGTCTACACACAAGAACAACAGCGAGAGCAAATAGTCCACAACTAAACAACAGATTAATAACAACATTTCTCATCCTACAATTGCAAGGAACTTAGGGATTTCATCATCTACAGTCTATAATATCATCAAAAGATTCAGAGAATTTGGATAAGTCTTTGCAAAGTAAGCAGCATTTTCAAAAACCAACACTGAATATTTGTGACCTTCGATCCTTCAGGCAGCACTGCTTTAAAAACTGACATCATTCTGTAACAGATATTAACACATGAGCTCAGGAACACTTCAGGAAACCAAGTTCAAGTTAAAACTCTACCATGCAAAGCCAAAGCCATACTGTATATCAACAACACACAGAAACACTGCTGGCTTCTCTGAGCTCATCTGAGATGGACTGATGCAAAGTGAAAAAAGTGTCCTGTGGTCTGATGAGTCCACATTTCAAATTGTTTTTGGAAATCATGGATGTTGTGTCCTCTGGGACAAAGAGGGAAAGGACTGTCCAGATTTTTATCAACGCAAAGTTCAAAAGCCAGCCTCTCTGATGGTATGCGCGTCTGTTAATACCCATGACTTGGGTAACTTGCACATCTGTGAAGGCATCATTAATGCTGAAAGCTACATCAGCTTTTGCTGTCATCCAAGCCATATTTGAATAAATAAATAAATAAATAAAACAAAATAAAATAAAAAAACATTTTATCTGTTTGAACATTAAATATCTTGTCTTTGTAGCGTATTCAGTTGAATATAGGTTGAAAAGGATTTGCAAATCAACATTTTCTGTTTTTATTTATGTTTTACACAACATCCCAGCTTCATTGGAATTGGGGTTGTAAAACTGCTTAGGTTGTTATTCATTAACATTGTTGACATTAACAGTTCCACTAATCTTTAGTGCTGCTGGAACGACTTACAGAGGAAGTTGGAGAGCCACGGAGGCTGATTGTGGTGAACGATAGCTACACACAGAGTGTTGAGAGCCACGAGGCCGAGCACTGTCCAGTAGAACGTGTGCGTCTTCACCACGCGCCGAATAGAAATGCGCAGGAGACGCTCCTTGCGGCGAAAATATGCCGCCGGACCTCGTTTTGCACTTCGGATGCTTCCTCTGGCCATGGGCATACCTTTTAATGGAGGGGGAGAGAGAGAGATGCAGAGAGAAACTGTAGCCTAACAGCAGTCGCACAGCATGGTTCAATTTTGACTGCCGGACACACCAGCGTGATGCTGACAGCACTAACAACTGCATTTCGAGCCGCAGCTGGGCTCTTTAACTCCCCCTCACCCAAAGAGGAGATGTCACCGTATTGTTCCTCTCCTGGTTGCCCCTGATGAACATCCAGGCCTCTCCTCTTGATGGTGGTGGCTCGCTTCAACACTACAGACACAGAAGAACATAAACCCTCACAGCAGAAGGTTCTAACTGCGCTCTGAGCAACTGATGTAATTTTAACATTGAATCTAGTCATGGGGAGCTGTAGGTCTCCAGCGGCCCACGTAGGATTATAGAACTCATTGTTGCACCATGAGTTCTGCCTGGTTGGTTGGCTCAGTAGGATGTCAGAAGCACTTAAAGGCACAGAGCTTGGGTTTGATCCCACCTCATGTTTGAAGTGCTTTAAACACTACTAATTTTGGATAAATGCTGTTATATAAATCTAATTTTAGACCAGATTTAGATCAATTATAGCCTAAATGTCTATGAACATATTAAAGCTTACATAGACGTTTTTTTAAAAAAGTGTTCGGTGGGTAACCAAAATTTTCTGTGAAACTGAGAATGACACGTTGTAAATACAGGAACACAAATATGACAGCAAACATAAAGACAAACAACGGGTTGAATTATCGAGTTTTTCGTCTTATCGTTAAGCTCTGTATTTTATTAAAGTTCTTATTGTTCCACACTTTCCTAACAGAGCACTTCACTCTCAGACTGCAGGTTTACTTGTGGTTCCTCCAGTTTCTAAAAGTAGAATGAGAGGCAGAGCTTTCAGTTATCTGTCTGTGAGGCTGACACTCTGTCTACCTTTAAGATTAGTCTGAAGACTTTCCTTTTTGATAAATCCTATAGTTAGGGTTGGTTTCTTGATTTACTTCTTAGTTCTACTGCTACAGGTTTAGACTGCTGGAGCACAAACCGACCACATTTCCTCACTTTGTTGCTGTCTTTAGTCACTCTCCTCTACATGTTTGTTGTAATTATTTCTATTAATAACATGCTTTTATTTGTCACTTTTCCAGAGGAAAAAACACCTGGACCAACTATTCTGTTTATCTGTATATCTTTCCTGTCCTCTCAAACTCAGCCAGTTGAGGCAGATGGCCTCTCGTTCAGAGCCTGGTTCTGATTCTAGTGCTGGTTTCTTCCTGTTACAAGAGAGTTTTTCCTTCCCACTGCCCCCAATGTACTACTCAGGATGTGAGACTGTTGCAGAGTGATTCAACGCAATCTGCAGCTTCCTTAGATTAATTGTTTTATTTTTACAGAGACCTGAGATGACGATTGTTGTGAATTGGTGCTATATAAATAAAATGAACTGAAATGAAGATTGAAGGCAACACTGATGTTAATTACAAGACACACGTAGTTGAACATGATCAAATTATTTTCAATCCTTTCTAGGAGTACCATCTTTTTTCCTCAAGCCTACTTTTTTTTCAAACCTTTATTTATTACAGGGACAGTGCATATTAAAGGGGCTATATCGTGTAAAATCAACTTTTTGAGTTTTATATCATGTTATAATGTTATACTCTCATAAACAACATGCTCATAGCCTTGCTCTGACTCATTCATGCATGTTTGAGAAATCCTGCAGCGTTTTTAGGCAGCCATGCTGAGGAGCAAAATGACAGGTAGGGACTAGAAACGCCTTTTGGTAACAGAAATGCCCCTGGGACGTGTCTTTAAGCCGAGGTTCCTCATCACGGAGCTCTACTCCCCACTCCACACTCCCCAACAATGACTCCTGCAGGCTCTCGGCAGTAACAGAGCAAAACTGAAAGTGAAACTTACTGTCCGCTGCTCTCCACACTACTTCTCACTCAGTGAAACTCTTTTCAGATAAAAAATACCTTTGAGGAAATGTACATTCAGATGCCAAGTTAACTGCATCATAGCACACGTGCAACCCCCACCCCCCAACCGAACGGGACGGGACAGAAGCAGAAGGTGGTTCTTAAAGAGACAGAGACCAATTTCAAGGCGTTTAGAAGAGGAAGTGATGAGAAGATAAGTTTATTTTCTATTTAAACATAAAAACAACATTTTAATAACAGCTAAAGGTGATGTAGATACTTTATTATGGTATAGTATTTAAATATATGCCTGAGAAACACATAATATTGGCCCTTTAATAACATTTCTGTAAATATGCCAGAATTAACCAGAAGGCTATTTTTCACCTGCAGTTCCCAGACAGATGGTAAAAGTCACCCTAAAATGTTAAATGTAAAAATATTAAATGTAAAACTACATAATTACAAAATAAACAAATACAATACACTTCAAAATACTTAAAATATTATAAGCTAAAATGCATATAAAAACACATAAACCAACGAGGAGAAAACAAACAATAAACAATAAACCCACACATGAGACAAGATGACAACTGAGGGGAGCAAGAGCTAGTCTAATTGTAACCTAATGACAGCTCTGATTATCAATAAGCCATTTCTTTAACAATATTTTAAATGTGTTATAACTTCAATGTCTAATGTTCACAGGAATAAGATTCCATTCGTTGGCAGCTCGCACATAAATTTCAATAGTTTGTTCTTTTTAAATAATTCAGATAAATCAAAAATGCAACCATTTCATCTGCATCTGCATTACAAAATGAACGAAAAGAGGCATGAACAAACCTAGCTAATGTAAAGTTTTAGCTGAAAGGGGGAACTGAAAGCAACGATGCAGCAGGGAAATTAGACAAAAATGAAAATTTAATGTTGGGGCAATGAGCCAGACAGCTTCACACTGTAAGCTTCAGACATTTATAATGAGCAAAAGACGCTCAAAGGCAATTTAGAGGTGTTTAGATTTATGTTTATAGATTCATGTTGAGCTGTAGCTTCACAATGCACATTCAAACACAAGCTCAAGTGAGCATGATTTGCCTTTTTCACTAACAAATGTGGATAGAATTACCTCCCATCCTGTCTTACCCCCACTCACACCTTTCTGCCACCTTCTGATTTCAGGATCTATACTTGCAGTCAATATTTGCTCGGGGACTTTTTAATAAGCCACTGATCAAACAGACACACACACACACACACACACACACACACACACAC